ATATGACACTGCTCCCTTGGTAAGAAAAGGGAAAGACATGGAAAAATCATATTAAGAGAAGAAAGCAGACCTAAAGAAATATAGGCTCCATGGTTTCCCTCATTAGTAAGTATTAGTACTCATCTGGTGGAGTCCCATGAGAGGATTACCTTAGCTCAATGGCTATGTGCATATAATCATATAAAATGATGTTAATAGAAATAAACTCCAATATATGGAAACAAGGAAGTTTTTTGTTTATTGTTTCTGTTTTTATTGGTATTTTAAAATCCTGATAGAATTTCTTTTTTTCTGTCATTTTCCACTTTTGTTTCATCTCCTGTTGTCACTGCTTTTGATTTTGGTATAATAGCTTTTGTGTATAAAATTATTTCTTTTGGGCAAGTAACACAAGATTAAAAAAAAAACATAAGAAAACAGTAAAGAAAGAAGCAATGCAAGAGCTTTACTAACAAAAACCCATACTGGACACAAACTTTACAACCTGTAAGGATGGGAAGCTGTTTGGGAGGAAAAGTGGAGAAAAAGAAGGAGGGTTTTAATAATGTAAAGGATAAAATGTACTCATTATCTTACTGATGTTACTCTATCCCCTCTTAGCCCATGTTACAATAAAATTAAAATTTAAAAGAATGTACTAAGTTCCCTGTATCTAAGAAAAACCATCAAGTTCTATAAGACAAAGAAAAAAAGAAAAATGGTTTTGAAAACAAGTATGGTGTAAGAATTTATTCTTTTAAACTAAACTATTCAGTAATATAAATAATGCCATTTGAACTTATACATCACCCTGCACCAGAATCAACTCCAAATGGATCAAAGACCTCGGAGTCAAAGTAGACACCCTGAAAACATTACAGGATGGAATAGGAGAAACCCTAGGACTCCTTGGCACAGGCTGAAATTTTCTTAATAGAGACACAGAAACACAACAAATCAAAGAAAAGTTGGACAAATGGGATTGCATAAAATTGCAATGGACATAGCTAGCAAGATTAATAGAAACCCATAGATTGGGAGAAGATTTTCAATAGACAAGGGTCTCATACCTAAAATATACCTGGAACTCAAAAAATTCTATTCCCCAACAATTAATCTTCAAAGAAACAACTGCCCAATAAATAAATGGTCTAAAGACTTAAAGAGAAACTTCTCTGAAGAGGAAAGAAGGATGACCAATAGACACATGAAGAAATGCTCAACCTCCCTAGCAATAAAAGAAATGCAAATCAAAACAACATGAAATACCACCTCACCCCAGTTAGCATGGCTATACTCAAGAACTCTCATAACAACAGATTCTGGAGGGGATGTGGACAGAAGGGAACCTTACTGCATTGTTGGCAGGAGTGTAAATTTGTTCAACCACTTTGGAAAGCAGTATGGAGGTTCCTCAAAAGACTCCACATAGAGTTCCCCTATGACCGTCAATCCCACTTTTGGGCATTTACCCAAATGATCACAAACAAGACTATACTAAAGCTACCATCACAACTATGTTTGTTGCAGCATTATTTGCCATAGCTAAGATATGGAACCAACCCAGATGACCTTCAGTAAATGACTGGACCAAGAAAATGTAGTATATATACACAATGGAATTCTATGCCTCCATCAGAAAGAGTGACATTGCCCCATTTGTTAGGAAATGGAAAGACTTGGAAACAATTATATTAAGTGAAGTAAACCAGGCCCAAAGAAACTTAGGTCCCATGGTTTCCCTAATTTGCAATAACTAGTATATGTCTGAGTCAAGCAGAAAAGATCAGATTTGTTGATGTTAGGGAAATGAACCCTAAGATATGTATTCAAATTTTTTTCTTTCAGTTGATTGTTTCTAACATATTTATAAGATTATTTCTTTCTTGCTTTGTATGTCCCTTCCCATGGTACAACCCCTGCTTTCACTGTATTTGATGTTGGTAATTTGTGGAGGGAAAGGGAAAAAACAAATCTTTGAAATAGGGATTCAGGTGGATCCATTGCAACAATGAGATGTACAAGTCGTTATGTGGAAAAATGAACTTTACAACTTTGGTGGGGGGTAGGAAGGTTGGGTGGGGGAGCTGGGGGCGGGTGGGGGAGGATAGGAAGGGGAAACAAAGGAGGAGGCTACAATGCTTGATAAGAAATGTACTCATGCCGGGCGCTGGTGGCTCACGCCTGTAATCCTAGCTACTCAGGAGGCTGAGATCTGAGGATCGCGGTTCAAAGCCACCCCGGGCAAGAAAGACCCTGAGACTCCTATCTCCAATAAACCACCAGAAAACCGGAAGTGGCGCTGTAGCTCAAGTGGTAGAGCGCTCGCCTTGAGCTGAAGAGCTGAGGGACAGCGCCCAGGCCCAGAGTTCAAGCCCCACGACCGACAAAAAAAAAAAAAAAAAAAAAAGAAATGTACTCATTATCTTGGCATGTAATTGTAACCCCTCTTACAGTATTTTCACAATAAAAAAAAAAGGCCATTTGAAATTTTAGTCTTCTAAATCTTAGTCAGAGAGGCAATACTGCTTGGACACACAGATGGATATGAAAAAGGAATTAGTTTGATTATGTTGAATGTGTTGTTTATAGTTTATTATTTCCATAGGCAGAAGTGAAGATATTTCACAGTTATCATTTAATAGTTAGCCACTATTTTTCTAAATGTATCTTTATTTGTCTTTCTAACATGTACCTCCCATTCAAAATATAACAGTTTCTCTGTTCACATGTACCTTTTTTGAAAACTGAACTGGTGTAATTTCGGGTTTTGGTTTTTTTGTGTTTTGTTTTAAATGTGGACGTAAAATTAAATTGTATTTTGGGGGCTTTGATAATTTCCAGTATAGTTGAGTGAGTTTGGATTTGGGGAATAGAACATAATTGCAAGTGATAAGTTTGGATGAAGTGTGACAGTTTTCTGGGAAGAAATGGAGAAAATCAATCTGGAGTATTTGCAGAGTTCTGTCCAAAAGCCGTGTTTAGGCAAGGTGTTGTGATGTGCAAAACTAATTCATACTTGAATATGATTGTTGACAAGTTGACACATACATGGTTAATAATATTCTTAATCATTAGGCTTAATATGCCAAAACATCTACTTACTATAACATTAAAAATCATTCTGCCAGAATCTTTTCTAGTACACAAAATGATCAGAAAGGGGTGATAATGAACCTATTTACTGTACTTCTAGTCTATACATAACCCACTCATTTCATAACTTTTATATTTAGAAGGGAACATAGTTTTCTAATTAAAATTACTTTGTTAAGAATAATAGTGACAGGCACCAGTAGATCAAGCCTGTAATCCTCTCTCTTCTAAATGAGATCAAAATACAAACTAAGGCTACACCGTAGCCTTATTTTATCCAATAATTAAGAAGCACAGGCAGAAGTGAAGATATGGCACAGTGGAGGAGTGCTAAGATTGAGCATTAAAGGAAGGGGAGAGTCCCCAGACATAGTGTTCAAATGCAGTTTTCTAATTCTCTATCTCTCCCCTTTGTCAATATTTGTGGAACACAAACACACACTCATGCACACACACATACCAAATACACAAACGTGCATGTGCTCTCACACACACATTTATTCTCAACAATTGTGGACTTAAGGAAAGCAGTTTGACCCTTCTTAACATGTCAGTCTCTTCCAATCACATAAGGGCTATTTATTTGTGAGAGAAAACTGTAATTCTTCCTTAAGGAGATTCTTATTTCCTTCAGATGAGACATTACAGTTGAATCAGACAGTGAATTTGGAAATCAAAATCGTTACAGGTAGATCTGCAAATACAGTGAGATGACACAAATGCAGCCAGGTTTTTGTATGTTCATTGGTGCTTGTGTCTATGGCTTTGTGTGTGTTTGTGGAGGGTTGTGTTTATATTTGTGTGTTACTAGGCTAGAACTCAGTACCTAAAGCTTTATCATTTCAGCCCAAACACTTGATTCTCCTGTCTCAGGCTGTGCAGGATCTAGAATTACACTCACATGCTCCTACCAGTGACTGGCCCCTACCAATCTGAAGCAGTTTCTTTGAGTGGCAGAGCCCTTTGCAGAACCAGTGACAAATAGGAGGCAATATGTTTGCATGGTTAGCACTCATTAGGAAACTAGCCCCATTGTGTGGTGCTTGTTATTTCATAGGTAGTATTCATGAATCAGCACACAATTTTAGGAAAAGAAAAGGGTATCATGCATAATTTCTCAAAGAATCCAATTTAAGTAAGTTTTCATTCTTCATCTCTACAAGTGAATGAGATAAAGAAAATGCTGAGAGATAACCTTAACAGCAAAATATTGTAAGGAAAGAATCATATTATTTTTTAGGTCATATTACTGGAATTGCAACTCTATTGGGTTGTGACACTACAAGTACCTTCCCTCCTTGGTGATAATGAAGAGATCTTTATATGCCTGGGGTAGGTATAAGTCAGAAATCATCTCAGAAAGTTCAGATTATACACAACTTGAATTGGCACTTGAATTAATTTTTTAGATAGATTCTCTTTAATTACTTTCACAGACTGGAGTTGAGCAGTATTCCTCTCATCTGCAAACCCTCAGTAGCTATGGTTACAGGCTGCACAACATGATGATTGAGCTCCTTGAGTAATTTGTTTCACATTTAGGATGTCCAACTATCCCGCCCTATACTCAGAGCATGAATGCAGAAAGTCTGTTGGTAAAGGAAAAAGCAATTTTCGTTATTTGTGTTGAAGAGACTGATCAATTGATTTGTTGCCTTAGTGACTGCCAAGATTCTGTATGACTCGGATTTTGAAACTTCCAGGTGTATCAAGCGATCAGTCTCCATTTTAGGATAACTGGATTAGCATCAGAGTGGTAAGGACAGATTCTGACTGCCCTACCCAACTGTTGCTAGGAGACAAAAGGCCTCCTGTGATGTCATAGAACGCTTATGCAGATCTTTATCTATCTGTGTAGGTAGGCCTATTTAAGCTGTTCAGAACTGTGAAGATAGTATGAGTCACTGAGGAAGAAAGAGATTGAGATGGAGGAATTATTTTCAGACATGCCAGATACTTCCCAATATGGTTCCGCAGAATCAGATACTTCCAATCTACCTTCACTGAGTGATCGCTCACTCACTGAGGAGGCTGAATTAAGGTCGAAGATTGAGGAAATTACTTTCCAAGTTTTGTCTCAGACACCGTGGGCCCAAAGACTCCGTTCCACATTTTGTGTCTCGGAAGCAGATGAAGACAATGATTTTGTTTCCCTGACTTTTCCCAGAAAACTTTGGAAAATAGTTGAAAGTGACAAATTCAAGTCTATTTGGTGGAGTGAGGATGGAACTTCTGTTGTGATTAAGGAAGATCTGTTTAAGGAAGAAATTTTGGGAAGAAAGTATCCTTTCAAAATTTTTGAAACTAGAAGTATGAAAAGTCTAATTCGACAACTGAATCTTTATGGGTTTAGTAAAGTTCAGCATCAATTTCAACGATCTGCTTCTCTAGTTGACTTTCTTGCCGAAGAAAAAGAGGCCTCTGTTTTAACCAAGGTAATTACTTAGGCTTTTTTCACTTAAGTACTAACCGATGTCATTTGTACACCTGTTTTGCCTTCCACTACACTAGAGTAAAAAAAAAATTACTTGAAATTCTATGAAAAGAATTTTATCTCTTGACAACCTGCACCTTAAACATCTAGCACTTACAGAAAATTTGCTACCAATTTTGAATCTTACAAGTGAACTTTGAATAAAGCTATTTAAAATGTTCATTTTGCTATAAAGACAGAATGTTTTAACGTTAAGGCAATAATAAGTTTTCACATTTTAAGTACATTTTAAGTAATGAAAGCGTATCTACAAATTTTGACTTCTCTATCAAGAAGATTAGTTTGTAGTCTCTGATTTCTTCCACTAGGTTTGGCACTGTATCTGATTAAAATACCTCCAAATGATTTTCTCCTTTGGTTTTAGTTGCTGTGCTACCATAATCCGAATTTTAAACAAGGATGTCCCCAACTGTTAGCAAGGATGAAAAGAAGAGTCAAGATTAAGAATGTTTCTCCAGCAGCTGCTTCATTGGTTCCACTTCTGAACCACAAGCAGCACCTCGAAGCAGATGGTAATGTAAGTAATCCCAATTCTCATTTAGTTGCTGAAAACAGTGGAGAAAGTTTCCTTTCAACTTCAGGAAATTCACTGCTATCTCCAATAAAGCAGCCTTCTAGCAGGCAAATGATTGAAAATTCAACTTCTCTAGTCAGAAATGACATTTCTTTTACATCATCAGCAGTTCAACCGTCAGAACCAATTAGATCAAATCAACATGAAGTTCTAAATCATGTGGCCACTTTTCATGTGCTGTCAAACAACAGCTACACCCAGGCTAATGGCCACATTGTAAATTATTTTACAACTTCAACTTGTCAATATCGGATCATACCTACCTTCCAAAATAGAAATCCTGGACTAATGATGGAGCCTTCTGTTATCCCAACTCAATATCCTTATGTATTCGCCAATCTTTCTACTGATTCGAACCTGCTACTGCCAGCACACAATCAATGCTTCTTCATTCCCACCATTCCCAATACATCTGCTGCACCGTTTTCAAGCTCAGCTCATCACACATCATCCTTATACGATCATCATCCTAACAGTAATTAATCTACCAACGGAGCACTTGATTTGTCAGGAAAACACATAAAAATGTGTTGGCAAATACTTAAAATTTTCATGCAACCCTCTTACCTACATAATAAAGTGGCATGCTAACTAACATGTTTTCTTTTTTCCTTATTTAAGGGACACCCTTGAGTGGAAAATGTTTTCTTTCAACAGCAGGCTGTGGTACTTCATAACTTTTGAAATATGGTCCCCCACAGACATTTTATAGGAAATCTTTCATTTCCATCCTGAAGTAAGTACATGTCAATGATTTTTATACAGAAGAGGTGATGATAGCAAAGAAAGTGGAAAGCAGGATGTTTGAAATAGCCTAAGATGTGTCACAGGGAGGCCTAAATTAGGAACAGTAAATTGATTTGGTTTTCTCTCAAATCCATTAGTTGAGTGGCTATAGTTTCCTTTTGCTCTATTGGAATTCATTCAGTTTTCGGATTATGGATTCCATGAATCCATCTCTCAAGCTTTGTTTTACCTCATCATACTCATGCATACCTATGCACTTTAAATCAGTATATTTGCCAGTAGTGTTTGTAGAGCATTTGAGAACTCTCCTCTGGATTATTCATTAATTGCTCTGTTGCCTGTTCATCTTGAGTGGGAGTTGAGATTCCTTTATTATCCATTTTTCCTGTGTTTCTAGCTTCTACCCATTTGGGAATGAAAGCAAAACTAATTTGATGCCATCATACTAATTTAAGCCAAGCACCATCCGGGAGCCCTGCAGTTGCACAGAATTTGGAGGATTACAATAAACAATGGGTATTTTCCAATCTATCTCTCCTTTTTTCCTGTGGGGAATGAGAGTATATGCAATTCCACACAGGAGCACAATTTTAAGGCCAGTACCAACCCATATCCCTGTAGTTGCACAGACTTTATAGGCTTCCCATCAAAGATAGGTATGTTTGCTCTCTCTGTGTCTCTCTCTGTGTCTCTCTCTGTGTCTCTGTTTCTGTCTGTCTCTCCTGTTTTGGAAATTAAAATACCTCCAATTCTACACTGGAAAACAATTTTAAAACAAGCAACAGCCCAGAGCCTTGTAGTTACACAGATTTTGGAAGCTCACAATCAATGATAGTTATTTTTTACTCTATCTCTCCTTTTTTGGATATGTAATTAGGAACAATACCACCTCAGAACACACTTTTAAGACAAAATCCAACCCTGGGTCATATATTTGCACCGATTTTAGAGGTTGAAAATTATATACAAGTATTCCTCTATCTCTGCTTTTCTTTGATGGGGGGAGGATTTTGGTATAGGAATTGATATAGGAATGGTAATAATGTAAGTTGTAACCAGTGAACCATCTGTCATGAGGTTTGAATCAATCTGGACCAAAAGGATAACTTGAGGAGCCACTTCGACACATTCAAAATGAGTACAGATATAGTCTAGCTCATCAACAAACAACTAGGGAATCAATGGACTATGAAAATCAAAAAAGAGGCAGAGGACTGGAAATTAAGACATACAATGAAAATTATAAGAAAATAAGATTAGAGGGATTTATGGAGGAAAAGCAAGAAAAGGAAGGTGACTAAGACCTAAATTCAGAGAGAGCAAAAAGAAAAACCTGAAAAGAGAAAAAAATGAAAAGAAGAAAAACTTTAAAAGTTATATAAGCATTTAAAAACCACAGTTAAAGGTACTAAGTTTTAGAAATTGCAAATTTAGTAATTGGTATCTGAATTATGCATACTTACAGTGCAGGAGGAGCCTAATAATCACTGTTGGCTATGTATCTGGGGATGACCAGAGTATCAATTAAGTAGAGAGAAAAATAATGAAAAAATAGAAAAAATATTTAAAAAATTAAATTAGAAAAAAGAATTTTTCGATTTATTTGGGGATCTGTGTCTCCCCTCTGTTCATATCCATTCTTTTGATGGAGCCTCTGGTTTCCTGGTGCTCAGTTTTCCTGAAACTTAGTTGGTTTCTCAATTCAGTTTGAGCAGGCAGAAAGAAGTCCTGCCTTACTTGCATGAGTACTTTGTGATGCTCTTCCAGACTAGTTCAGTGGGAGGGTGAACTGCTGTGTGTGTCACACAAGAGGGTGGTGACTGTTTCTTCTAGCTTGGAGTTGAGGCCTATCAGCAATCAGTAGCTTTTTCCCTGACTGGCTAGCTCCTGAGATATTCACACAGCCCAGCCTGGAGCCACTCTCAGGTTTTATGCTATATCTAGTTTTGAATTCCTTTTGGTCAGACATAGGTCTTGAACTCTGGGCCTGGGCACTGTCCCTCAGCTCTTCAGCTCAAGGCTAGTGATCTAACACTTGAGCAACAGCACCTCTGGCAGATCATTGGAGTTTCACAGACTTTCCTGCCTGAGCTGGCTTTGAACAGTGATCCTCAGATCTCAGCCTTTTTAATAGTGAGGATTACAGGTGTGAGCCACTGGCGTCTGGCTAGTTTTGAATTTTTTACCTACTGAAGCTGGAAAAGCTGTGGTGCTGCAGAGAGGCACGGCCATTTCTGGCTGTGTTTACCTTTTAAAGAAAATTCCCCTACCCTGGGTGGGGTGTGTCTCAACTGGGAAGGGCAACTTTCCTCTGGGTGGAGTTTTGTCCCACTTTTCAGATTCCTTTGCCCTCTTGAAAAAATGGCTCTGCAGTGTCTGCTTCTCTGGCACATGTTATCTGTTAGCGGCTCTGGCCCAGTCTTTGCCAGTATCAAATTTGGCATTATTCTCCGGTGGTGGAAGAGGAACTCCCTTCCAAACAATGTTCTGTGAGAAGGAGGAAAGATGTCTTGTGAGATAGACCTTTCCCTTGTTTGTCGGGCTGTCCTTAATCTGCATCTATCTGTGATCAGCAGTATGAAGATTTTCTGTCCTACTCAGTTCACAATGGTGGTGAATAGAAGCTGCTCACTCACAGTGGACTTGGTCACAGGTTCTGTTTGCTACTATGGTGGCAGGCACAGCCACCACCTCTGCCACCACTGCTATCACCAGTAAAATCATGAATCTATTTCCTTAAAGAAGCTGCCTGAATTTTTCCCCTCTGGCCCAAATCTCTGTACTATGATGACATTTGGTGTGACCCTCCTGCCTTGGATTTTTTTTTAGAACACTGAAACTGGTTTCTTTTTGAGAACTCATCCCCCAGATGCTCCTCCACCAACTTCCTCCCAATCTCTGCTGAAGTATTTTAAATGTAGGAAAAGGAAACTTTGGGGTTATTGACACTCAAAGGTTTATTTAGAGTTCTGCTGTAGAACTCTGTAGCAAATTTCCTCATATACTCGTGCACTCTAAATGAACCACTCAAGGAAAATAATATAAATGTTTTTTTTCCCCAAATGGCAACATGCATAACAGACAATTTTGATAATGTAACTTTCTAAACTGTGAGAAACAAGATTTCTGATGTTTCTTCACATATGACAATAGCTCTTATTTATTTATTTATTTTTGGTCCAGTCGTGGGGCTTGAACTCTGGGCCTGGGCACTGTCCCTCAGCTCTTAAGCTCAAGGCTAGAGCTCTACCACTTGAGTCACAGCGCCACTTCCAGGTTTTTTCTTTATGCTTATGTGGTGCTGAGTAATCGAACCCAGGGACTCAGGCATGCAAGGCAAGCACTCTACGACTGGGCCACCTTTCCAGCCCCTACAATAGCTCTTATTTGAGACAATACTATCAAAATGGATTTGAGAAATAGATAGATAACTAAGGTAGCTAACATACATTCTTTATTGGATAATCCAGAAACAGCAAAAATCCAAGTAAACCTTCATAAATGAATGTTTGGAAGTTGGAAAAGGGGTATGACCTGCTTAGTATCTCCTAAAGTATGTTGGATCAACTAAAGATAAGAAGGATCCTTTCCATAAGAAGGAAGAAAAAAATCCTCACATTTAGTTTTTAATCTAACAATTGTCACATTTTAGACTGTCATTAGTTTTGTAAAACATTATCAAATCTAGAACACTAGATATTTCAAATGGCAGGCATCTCATTCTTTTGTCATTAATAAATCTAATAGAGCTGAAGAAGTAAAGTAGAATATAGTCACTTTGTTCAGAAACATGTTCACACAATCTGGCTCTAATTATCTATTTATCTTTTTTTGGGTCTTAATTCACGTCTTGGAATTATATCCTGGAAAATGTAATAATATTTTGCTGTACTGAATTGTAATTGTATTTCATCTCACGTGAAATGATATAAACATCTTGAGACTTGTTAAAGGAGAAGAGTATTGTCTGAGATTTTATTCAGAAATCTTATTGAAATGTAAAACAAATAAATATGAACTCAATTTTACACAATTATTTAGATTAAAAATATACACAGATGGGCTGGGAAGGTGGCTCAGTGGTTTTCTTCCTTTATGTTTTCTTTTTCAGAAATTTGACCTTTTCATGATAGAAGCCCTTCACATCACTGTTTAATTCCTACAATAAATGGAGCTAATTAGTGAATTAAGTTAATTAACAAAATAAAGTCCTGTTTCAGTCTTGATCTTCTCAAATAGATCTTGGCAAATAGAAAATGACTGATTTTTGTAGGACAATTTTAAACCCATCTCTTTTGCCAGATTTTCAAATAAGCTCAATAACTTAGGGAAGGATTCCATTTGGTTCTTTATAGTTTTACCTCTTCTTTCCCAACTTAGATCCCCTTTATGTTTTTCTTCTTGCCATACTGCTCTTGTTAGGGGCACCATTACTATATTGTTGAAGAGAAGAGAGAGAAGGTATCCTTGTTCCATTCCTGATGTTATCATTTTGAATAGAGTTCTAAAGGTATTTTAGGTATCGCCTCACTCATAGCTAGTAAAAACCTTCACTCATTCTGTGGACTTTCTACGGATCTTGCAAGCTCTGTCTTTACCAGGCAAAAATGCTTCAGTTTGCTGCAACTCTATTTCTTCAGCCTTTCTTTGATTGATGTGTTTGGTTTTTCTCCCGTCGATTGTGGGGCTTGAACTGTGAGCCTGGGCTTTATTACTCAGCTCTTCAGTTCAAGGCT